GGAGATTCAGCATCGCATCGACTACCTGGTGGAGAACAAGTTCAACCGCGAGCAGAAGCTGATGATTGATCTCGGCGCCGGCACGGTGACCGACGTTGCCGAGTCCGTCGTCAAAGACCTCAACGCCGAGCACCGCGTGCTGGAGGAGCTGAGCAAGACGAAGAGCGACTACGAGATGCTGCCCTCGTCGGCCTTTCTGCAGGAGGACAGCGAGCTGCTGAAGAAGGCTCCACCGGCGGTGTACATTCCCAGCGAAGAGGGCGGTAAAACCCTTACTAAGGGCAAAAAGCCCCTCCCGAAGGCCTTCTCAATGGACGCCTACGCGGCGAAGGTGCAGGACACGGACATGGAGGTGATCGACGACCGGGGCATGTGCCTGGCCATGCACCAGCCCTATGCGACGCTGCTCGTGGCGGGCATCAAGCGCTTCGAGGGACGCACCTGGTTCAGCACCTTCAAGGGCCGCCTGTGGATCTACGCGGCGGCCCGCCGGCCCACCACCGAGGAGATCACCGCCGTGGAGACCTTCTACGGCCACCTCGGCTTCAGCAAGTTCCCCCACCACTACCCGACCGGGGCCATCGTCGGCTGCGTCACCATCGACGACTGCCTTNTGGAGACCTTCTACGGCCACCTCGGCTTCAGCAAGTTCCCCCACCACTACCCGACCGGGGCCATCGTCGGCTGCGTCACCATCGACGACTGCCTTCCCAATGAGGTGGTCCGGGAACAACACCCCGAGTGCGAGGTCGACTCGCCGTACGCCTTTGTTTGCAGCTACCCGATTGCCCTCAGTCGGCCGCTGCCCGTGACCAAGGGTGGCGGCAATAAGATTTACAAGCTAGAGGCCAGCGTCCACAAGGCGGTCAAGTCGATGCTCGGCTTCTAATTTGGGTTTTTACTTTTACTTTCTTTTATTCTTGAATGTGAATAATCTGTAAATAGAAACGCACTGAAAAATATAAATTCCGAAAGTGGAAAAAGTGATTTGAATTTTCGAAATCGACCAGCTCTGCCATCTGCTGCCGAAATAGTTGAGCAGTGCGCCGCTACCTTTGTGTTTGTTGCTCCGCTGATTTCTGTCTTCTGAACTGTGTGTTGTGTTCTATTTTTCTTTCATCAGTTTTTTTTCACCTCAACATGAACTCTAATAATTTGACATACCAAAGTAACAAGTGAACAATTCCTGCTGCAAAGATGTCCCAAAAGCGCGGTCCTAAGAGTAACCAGGCGCGACATGTCGGTCAGGACTTTTTTGCACTGGGAGGTGGTAAGCGATTTGAGATGTTTGTAAAGAATCTATTTTGTTCTAATCAATTTGTTTGTTCACCCTTTTTTACAGCGCCTCAACCAACGGCGCCGTCCACGTCAAATCTGGCGCAAAACATGCCCAAGCTGCCGGCAAAACGACCCAACGAGGCCACCTTTCAGCAGCCCGTTCTGGCGGCAAAGAGGCCTAATCTAAACTCACCCCTGCAGAATGTGTCACCCTCGATGTCGCCCATTCCCATGCAACAGTCGGTCATTCGGTCGACGGCAATGCACTCCACATCTTCCACTTCGTCATCCTCATCATCGTCCTCGAAAACCAGCTGGGAAGACCGAGCCATGGTCGTGCCGGCTAGAGACCTGAGAACTCGCATTCTGGAGTACGAACAGAACGACTCCTCCGAGGAGATGATTGAGCGCCTTCTTTGTGGCGCTGCCAAGCAGCTGCAGAAAACGGCAAAGCCCGACTCGATTCTGGTGCTGACGCTGCTTTACTTTGGCAAAACTCGCCCCCTTTTCTTCTGCTCGAACACCATCGTCGAGGCCTTCTCATCACTTCTGAAGCGAGAAGCTCTGAGCATGTACGCAAAGACGAAGAACAATCTGGTGCCCGTGCTGGTGATCAACCTCTTTCAGAAGGCCTTCCACGATGAGTCCTCCTGGCCGGAGGTCTTTCTGAAGATGTACGTCGAGGATGCGCTCAATGAGCGAGTCTGGGTGGACCATGAGGAGTGCAAGGTGAGTCCTCTCATTATTTTCATTATTCAAACCTAACAGGCTCATTTGCAGGACTTTGTCGACATCATCGTCGCCTCCTTCAAGACGAGGCTTCCTCAAAGGTCTCAGTTACAGGCATCCGAGGTGTCCATTTCCCATCAGAAGTCCTCGTCCACAGCCACCTCAGAGAGCCTACTGCTGACGGCGGCCTCGCACAGCAGTGTCTCCGGCGGCGAGGAGAGCATGGCCGACGACGCCTCCTGCTCCAGCAATCCCTCCACCTATTCGGACCAGGGAACGCGCACCGGCGACTCCTCGGTGGACATCAGCTCTCGCTACGCCGACAACGCCAACTTTGTCAGCGACTACGTCGGCGAGGTGATCAACGAGACGCTGGCGCGGCGGAACATCAACGACGTCCAGCGAAACGTCCTCAAGCTGCTGATGGTGACGGCGGGCATTCGTCCCGTTCGCCAGCTCATTGCCCAGCGCCTCGAGGCGTGGTTCCAAAATCCGAAGCTGACGCGGCCCTCGCAGGACCTCCTGCTGACCGTCTGCATGAACGTCACCGACGCCGACGTGGACATTATCGCCACGCTGCTGCGGATTCGCTTCAAGAACAAGTCCTTCCTCAATCACTTCTACCTGTGCATGAAGGAGCTGCT